CTCATAATTTTTCTGATGGCAATTAAACATTTTTCACATCCATATTGGAATCAGATTCAGATTGGGGTTCTTCCCCCTCCCCTCCCCCCTCCCGAACGATTACGCCACTTTCAAAAGAAATAATCAGTGGCTAGGAGATACTGGCCTTTTTAATCTTTCTACAAAACACTTTTATTAGACATTAAAGCGTTTCATAAAATCTTGCTATACAGTGTATGTCTCTAGTATATGCCTCAAAGTATTGATAACAAGAGCGCAATCAACAACTTGTGATATCAATGAACCTTGATCCTGGAAGAATTATTTTCAATAGGCCTACATTTTTATTTAGTATGCAGGTCTCTCCCGTTCATTGTCAAACCATTACTTCTTTTCTTATTATAAGTGCATTACTTGTTCCAGCAGCAGGACTCTCTGGCCTTGTTGAGCTAGATGCCATGCCGTGAAACATCCTATAATCCCTCCTCCAATGATAATAACATCACGAATTTCTTCTGGTTCATTTTTGTCTGCCATGTCCGTTCTCAGTCCATTTTCAGGGGTAATAGGAAAGGATTAACAAGACACTATTCTTAATCTGTTTTCTTGTTCCTCTTCATCGTGTAAGTAAACTCAAATAGCGTAACAGTAAGAAATACGAAGATATGCCAAAGATTGGTTAAAGATCTTAATTGCCTATCTTTTTATGAATTACATAATTGCAAAAAATATTATCCCCAATCTCCTTACTACTCTCCCCAAGAGATCGTAAGATACTCAGCCACAGCCTCTCTTTAACATCTAGTGATAGTTTTCTCAACTAACGCAATCCTTCTATCATGAAGTAATTATTCTTATCCTATGAAGTGGTAATATACTATGAAGTATCTTAACAATTGTTCTTGACTGTGGGTAAGAGTATGGAACTCGTTTTATTCACAAATAAATGTAAGCAGCATTTTTTCCAGAAATGTAGATCTATTGTAATAAATATGCTTACAATTAATGCTACAATAAATTAAAAGAGGGTAACAATTAATTTCAACAACTATTTATTAAATCAAAGAAAAATAAAAGCATCCGGGATATTGAAACGTAGGCTAGAGTAAGGAAAGAATCCAGACGTCTTTAAATGCTAGAAATGACAGAGATATGCTTATAACAGAGGCAAGTTTCCAGACACTCGAAAAATTAAAGTGTCTGTGAAACAGTGACTTTTGTTTATGTTATTATAATGCAAAATAGAATATTTGTAGTTTGATAAAAATTTTAAACGAAACTTGGACAATGATGTGTTTAATGTGAGACAAAACGTTAGAAACAAAAGTATAAAAGGAATTTAGAAATTTGCATTTTTCCCAAGCAGCTGTTTTGGAGCGCGATGTGATTTTTTTTTTTTTTTTTTTTTTTTTTTTTTACATTTACGAAGCTTTCATTTTAAGTGTACTGTGTGCAAAAGAGACGAAATGCCAGAATTATTAAATCATTTAAGCAGTATGGGCTTGGGAGTTCAACCTCCTTGGAAACTATTGTCTAAATTAATTGATTTTAATCCTGTTCATTCGACGTTGCTTCTTTAATTCTGCATTCCTTTTTAATTTAAATTCAGATTATCTAGGTACTTAAGCAAAGTGCATTTTGTATAATATCACATTTTGATATTTAGAAAATATAAATTAAAGATTAACCAAAATAATAATCAGCGTTTGTACAATATGCAGCATCCTCATTTATCTTGTCTGAACCAATACAACTTTCGACCGTGTCATTCCACTTCTGTTTCAAAGTTTACTTTTCTCTTCATGCTCAAATCTTGACATTCTGAAGTGGGTCATGTTGTATTGTGGATTACGGTTTGTAACTAAATCGGCTAGGATCTTTCCAACTACAGGGGCCAACTTGAAACCATGACCTGGAAAGTTTTTAAATAAAATACAGTGTATATCAAAATTGAGCAATTTCAAACAAGTTAATTTCTTCATTTGTTGTACATTACCCATTTGAAGTGAATATCGGTTACTTTTGTAATTTTTATATATAAAAAAATATCCACTTTAATCCTAAGATATTTCCCCTAATGCTTCTACCCGATATTAAGATTAAACTGAAAAATTTCTGTATCAGGCCTACCCAACTACCAGACTCGGCACCGAATGATCCTGAATTCACCGGTAGATCAGACCACACTACCCGTTTTCAAGGTGTGAGTCAGTACGCATTACACAGTATCATACCCTGAACAAATTTTGAGTGGTGATGCAATGCTTTTCAACCCCGCTGAGAATCGTCACTATCACATCGCGTACTAGGCAAGAGCGGTGTCGCGTCTGATACTGTGAAATGCGTACTGATACACACCTTGAAAACGGGTAGTGTGGTCCGATTTACCGGTGAATTCAGGATCATTCGGTGCCGAGTCTGGTAGTTGGGTAGGCCTGTGTATATTCCTGGTTCAGCTGCGATGATAAATACCTGAAAATCCAGCACCAATGACAATGTTATCCCATTTCGGATGTTTGTCAAGGATGAAGTTACCATCCGGAGTGTTCTGAAATATTTAGCATGATTAACCAGCGATAATTACGTTATTGTCAATTCTAAAAGTTATGCCTAATAATGGCAGCGCTGAACTTTTGCTCTGGCTATTTAAATAAGACATACAGCAGTGTATGAAATTCAAGGAAATTGCTAGCCAGACCGCCGGGCAGGTAACTCTGAAAAGTTACCAGCCCGGCCATGTAGTTACCTGCCCTAGTTATGATAACCCCTAGAGTTAAGAAAGGTATGCTGAGGGGGTCTAGAATGCATTCTTGGGAGAGTAATTTGGAAATGAAAGGGCAATATCATGCCTTATGCATGGAAATTTAGAAATTGGTTGGAATTTCTACTGAATGATACCTTGTCAGTGTTGGATTTAGAGGGGGGTCAGGGGGATCCTGACGCCCCCCTTTTTATTTCTGTAAAAAAACCTAACCTCTTGAAATAAGACTTTCACTAGTTGAATCATAGTTCTAAACCATACCAAATGGCACCATTCACCATCTAAAATACCAAAAATTTTCAGGGCCCTTTAGCGGGCGGGGGAGGGCGGGGGTAGTCAATTCAGTTTATGTTCACCTTGCAGGCTGTCTCATTTCTTCTTCAATAATTTATTCATAATTTTTATTTCGATTTCGTGATATCATTTGATCATAATTTTGCTTTTCTGTATAGCAACAAGTATGACCAAATATATATATATATTGTTGTCAAATAAATCGATCTCTGTGCTGACAATAAAGAAGAAAGAATTCAGCACGTAGGGTCCCTTTGAATATCGCTTTTAAGCTTTAAAAAGCGGTCGGGAATGGTCCTGCACGCTAATGGCCCATAGACAGTCCTGCAGGGCCCCGTATCTCCAAAGCATTGCTTATTGAGAATAGCTATATATATATCACATAGAGGCTACAATATATTATATGGGGCGAGTATGGGCGAGTTATTGGATTGAGATGCTTGCGCTCGGTCGCAATGCGTGATACTTTCGAGTTACGGTTTTACGAAAAATGTTGCTGCTCAACTAATTGCAAATCGATGTCACCTTTCCATGGGTCCCAGTTTGTTCTCTTTCGTTTGGTTCTGTCGTAATCTTTGTTATTTTTATTTCTTTCCTCAATTGTTTTTCTTTTGTGAACTTCTCTATCGGACTTGATAGATTTTTTTCATTTTTGAGAGCCCAAGATGAAAGCACGTGGGAAAAGAACTACATCTGACGCATGGCGTAAACTCATAATTCTGGGATTCAAATTTTTTGTAAAATTCTCCTTTAATTTGCCTCCGTTGCCTTTATTGCTGATGATTTTAAGCACTTCATGTACCTATAAGTCTATTTAATCAATATCATAACTTTTTATACTTTCACATTTTTATTACTCTCAACCTACAGATTGCTACTCGCGGTATCTCCTCAAAACAATGACGTAACGTTATCTGCTGTGCACTGAAGCTGGTTAAGAACAATGTGCCTCGTTTCAAATTGTCTTTCAACTTCATATCACACAGACGGACACAGACTGTAAAAATAGCCAGCCAGTCGGGCGGGTAATTTGCAAATCTTACCCGCCCGGCCTGAAAGTTACCAGCCTCGGGCTGGCGGGCAGGCGGCCATTTCATACACTGCATACAGTCATTTTAAACAATTTTGTCGTGCAATCTACATATATACCGGGTACAGGCTTTAGTATATAAAATGCTTACTACCTAATCTTTCTTTGCAATACAATTGATCTTAGGCTGTATTCCCAGAGCTTTTAGATCGATCTATCCCCGCGGGGAGTCTCACTAGATTACTGTCAGATAATCCGGCTTAAATGTCCGTCCCGCCTACTACAAGCTGTAAGGGGGTAATTAACTTTCGTGTCCGCTCGGCTGACAGCTATTTAGCGTGAACCCCCAGGGAGTTAGGTCGATCNCGAAGAGTTCTTATCCCTTTAATGTGAGACAAAACGTTAGAAACAAAAGTATAAAAGGAATTTAGAAATTTGCATTTTTCCCAAGCAGCTGTTTTGGAGCGCGATGTGATTTTTTTTTTTTTACATTTACGCAGCTTTCATTTTAAGTGTACTGTGTGCAAAAGAGACGAAATGCCAGAATTATTAAATCATTTAAGCAGTATGGGCTTGGGAGTTCAACCTCCTTGGAAACTATTGTCTAAATTAATTGATTTTAATCCTGTTCATTCGACGTTGCTTCTTTAATTCTGCATTCCTTTTTAATTTAAATTCAGATTATCTAGGTACTTGAGCAAAGTACATTTTGTATAATATCACATTTTGATATTTAGAATATATAAATTAAAGATTAACCAAAATAATAATCAGCGTTTGTACAATATGCAGCATCCTCATTTATATTGTCTGAATCAAAACAACTTTCGACCGCACCATTCCACTTCTGTATATTTCAAAGTTTACTTTTCTCTTCATGCTCAAATCTTGACATTCTGAAATGGGTCATGTTGTATTGTGGATTACGGTTTGTAACTACATCGGCTAGGATCTTTCCAACTACAGGGGCCAACTTGAAACCATGACCTGGAAAGTTTTTAATAAAATACAGTGTATATCAAAATTGAGCAATTTCAAACAAGTTAATTTCTTCATTTGTTGTACATTACCCATTTGAAGTGAATATCGGTTACTTTTGTAATTTTTAATATTAAAAAAATATCCACTATAATCCTAAGATATTTCCCCTAATGCTTCTGCCCGATATTAAGATTAAATTGAAAAATTTCTGTATATTCCTGGTTCAGCTGCGATGATAAATACCTGAAAATCCAGCACCAATGACAATGTTATCCCATTTCGGATGTTTGTCAAGGATGAAGTTACCATCCGGAGTGTTCTGAAATATTTAGCACGATTTACCAGCGATAATGACGTTATTATTATGCCTAATAATGACAGCGCTTAACTTTTGCTCTGGCTATTTTAATAAGACAAACAATCATTTTAAACAATTTTGTCGTGCAATCTACATAATAAATACCGGGTACAGGCTGTAGTATATATAAAATGCAAACTTCTACCTAATCTTTTCTTTTCAACACAATAAATTTTATTTGTGTGAGTGTCTTTCAGACTTACTGTGTACATGCATCTCTCTATAATACTTGGATTATCCTCCAAATGCAGAAAATGTCCTCTTATATACTCTGATAACTTCTTGATATCCGACGCAATGTGTTCCTTTATTTGTAAGTCTCTCTTGTCTGGATCTGTTGCTGGACCAACATGAAGGCACATCTAGGAACGAGTAATTGTGGACGGATTTCATAATATTATGTATGTTTATACAGGTACACGTTGTACCTTTTTAAATACCAAATACTTTTTAAATATCTTTCAACTCCTAAAACCACTGATTTATCTCTTAAATAAATCACTTAAACTTTTTAATTAACATCACTTTTGAAAGCACTGATGCGACCAACGTTTGACAATAACATTGTTATTGCGATTTGAAACACTTTACCAATCTTATTCAGACTGTGCGATTAATTTTTTTTTCAGAGCATGTTATGGAAATGGCAAGAAATCTCAAATCATAACATTACCCTTTCACCTTATGAAATCCTTTACCACTTTTTACAAAAACTTCAAATTTGTTAAGTCCTATCAGCTACCCTGCTTATATGACCGATATTGTCTTGTTATCGTTTATTACCTTCATCATGTTTGGGTATTCACTGCTGGGGAGACCGTAGACGAACGTATCCAAGCGCATTGTGTTGTAATCTGCAAATACCGGAAAGCCACTAGCCATGCTGTAGGCACCCGGTACCTTTTCCTTCCAGTAGAAAACATTGATTGCCATTGGCTGGATGAAACAGAGATACGACAAAGGTTCACCACAGGTCATCTGGCAGAGTGCATACAAATACGCACACAAAACTTAGTGTATGTGCGACTGTATTTATCCTGTAAAACAATACTTCTTTTCATCGAAAAAAGAAAAAAAAAATTAATAGAGTTTTAAATGAGACAAAAAATATAACTCACATGGATATTATCATTTCAGATTGTTGACAGGTTGAAAAATTCTCGGTATCCGTACCTTAAGAGGCAGGTGCAGTCCTAGTGGCTCCATGAGCTTCGCAGCCCATGGGCCAGCAGTGATGACAACACTTTTCGCCTGATAGTTTCCTTTGTTAGTCATAATTCCCACCAGCCTACCTGGATTGATCTTAAGAACTTTTGTCTCGGGACAAATAGTCCCACCATTTTTTCTGAAAAGAAACTATTATAGACGTTCGGTTTCTAACATGTAACTTTTTGGTAAAACTGAAGAAAAAGAAGGTCATGTAACATCCAAGTATTTTCTTATATTTTCTTGCACTTCGTTTAGATAAGGGCTGTATCAGAAAAGGATTACAAATACAATATCTTTCATTTCAAGTTTTAAGCTATGGCTGCAAATACTGAGTTTGGGATTGTGGAAACGGCAGGCACGCTTAGTGATAATCAAGAGATGAGATTCCACTTTTCTGTGTAATTCAGAATGTGTACAAAGATGTCTAAAAAGCAAATTGTTATTTTTTTTTTATGTCAGAGATACAGATGTCACGTACCTGAACAGTTCGAAGTGCCGCCTGTACATCTGTAACCCCAGCATCTATATCTATCAGACCAGCGTGACCATCGAATTTCAATCCAGGAAATTTTGTCCTAAGCTCCTCTTCGGTTAAAGTTGTGCATGGGAATATCAACTGCTGAAGATTACTCTTTATGCTTGTTAGGTTTCCGGCATCTTTGTCAATTATAAGCATTCCCGTTTTTCTAAAAATCGAAAGCATTACAAAATTACAGCCCACTGCAAAAAAAAAAAAAAAAAAAAAGACTTAGTTAAACATTATACATATCCCTAAACAAATATATTGGTTCTGGTTAAACAAAACGCAAGCAGTGCAGACACCTCTGTCAATCTTAATGTTGACATAGTTAGCATTTTTTTCTCCAAACTTTACCAGACATGGTTTACTATGAATCTAGTCAGAAGAGATATAATTTGCGACAAGCGCGTGCTCGTGATAGTGCGTGCATCACGTGCATATTTGTATGTAAATATATAGGTGGAAATTCAATGTTGCGTCTGGAGATCTCTGGATGCAACTTCGTTCCTTGAAGCTCACTTGTTGATATTGACATTAGCTTCATGTTCAATTTGTTCCCAAATCTTATAGGCTTCCTCCATCATTTCACAATAAAAATCCTCCTGGTATGCTTTTCTTACAGCACGGGTNCTCCTCAATATTGCGTCTGGAGATCTCTGGATGCAACTTCGTTCCTTGAAGCTCACTTGTTGATAATGACATTAGCTTCATGTTCAATTTGTTCCCAAATCTTATAGGCTTCCTCCATCATTTCACAATAAAAATCCTCCTGGTATGCTTTTCTTACAGCACGGGTGAGCCCAGCAGAGCTTCCACGTGAGTGTGGGAGCTGAAACTGATAAAAAGTGACGTGTTAGTATAGATACCAACTTATGAATTGACAATACAATACGTCCCCTACCAAGCCATTGCGCGTTAAGTTTTCTAAAACCCCGAAAAAACCTTTTTACATAGGAAAATGACGTAAATTGGTCAAATTTTGTTTAAGAATGATGTTATATTATGTTTGTGTTAAATGTTGCGTCAAGCCAGTCGGTTAAGACGGATTGTTGATAGTTTTGTACGTTATTTTTTTAAGACAAGGACTGTCGTCATACCACACAGAAGTGCACATGTGAATTCTAAACAGAAATATTTATTCAAAACAAGTACAATCATAACATTATTTATTCAACACCATATCTTCCAGATGCAAGAGCTAGGTATTTTAAAAGAAAAGTCCATGTTTTTTTTTTTAATAACATTATTTATTGACAGGATTGGTGGTCCATTAAAACCCGTAGTCCGTTTCTCCATTTGCGTGAGTGGTATTCGTCCCATATGCTGACCCCGATACATCCGGCTAACCTAATATTAAAACCTGCGCTAGTGCTAATCCTATGGAACCCCGGACCTCCATTTCTACATGCCTGACTACCATATCTGTCACACTTGATTTGCCACTGTCCCTTACCCTTCAATGCATAATTTTTTCCAACCTAATCCAGATAGCAAACAGTTGTATGTCGTACCGACGTCAGTGATTGTTGGCACGTTTGAGGTCGGCAACTGATGTCGCCCCGACGTTGGGCCATCAGCAAATGCCCACAGTAGACCAACGTCGACTCAAAGTTGGGGAAATGGCGTTGTGCCAGATGACAAAGTTTATTATTACGTGCATTATTTTTCATTATTCCATAGACCATGATGAGTTCAAGATGTAGCGAAATTTTAAAAACAAAAGGATGAAAGAAATCAGGAGAGAAATGTTAGAAAAATTCGTTTAAAAGGCCAACTGTGCAAACACATCCGCATTCCAATTTTGCATGAAGGCAACTATTACATGCAGTAATGCATAAAATTATAAAATCCATGGGGCTTCTAATATACACTGTACCTGTATATTAAGTGCCTCGCCCTTCACGCGTCAATTCCCCTATTCATGCTGTAGGCCCTACCATATGACAATTAAGTGCATTGTAGGCTGATATAAATGGTCAGCTAAATCGTAGGCACATGTAGACCTATAATGGTTGCATCATTATTTCTCAACTAAACTGAACAATTAGGCATACCTGATCCACGAGAAGCACTTGGCTTTGAAGTTTTTGTAACTGCCATGCTGTGAAGGATCCTACTATCCCTGCACCAATCACAACTGTATCCCAAATGATATCTTCAAGCCTAGCCATAGTGGGCAGTCAGGGCAGTCTCATCGAGTGTCGCACGAGGTCTTATGTAGAAAAGATAACCTAGCAAAAGGTTGGTAGGTCGGTATGGGATTTACGTCTATCAAAATAAACGGATAAGGCAGCTTAATAGGGTCAATCAACTCACATAAACCTGACTCTGGATTGATACAAAATGTTCCCTTAAAAGATGTCATTTTTTGCCTGCCAGTGACACTGAATTGTTGGTATCATTCTGTCCTTCATGGCTGACATAACACCATGATGTCATGGAAAGTACAATTATGAAGCATATTTAACCTGTGGAGTGCATGTGACAGAGGGGGTTATACCTGATACACTCCGCTGGTTGGTGGTGTACCTGACCTAGGCCCATAGCAGCTAACGCCCCGTTAGGCTTCTAGATTTGACGGAGGTCAAAAATAAACAAACAAAAAATTAAAAGAATAAAAAATAAAATAAAAATAAAAAAATAAAAATAAATAAAATTGAATAAAATAAATACAATTCAATAAAAAAATAAAATAAATGCAAAATACACCGCGATTCAGCCATTGGTAGCGACCTGACAATCATCGTGCTGTAAGTGTTCTAAATGTTTATTACAGTTTATTGCATCTTCTAAACGTTTATTACAGTTTGTTACAGTTGTCTAGTGTGTCATCTTTGCAGCGTCCACTATGCTGGGGAAGGTTTTGTGACTGTTTTTTTATGGATGGCAACTACGCGTCACGCTGCGCGCTATAGTTACCAACAACTATTTTTTCCTGTGAAAGAAATTTTTATTCTGCTGACATGGGCTACATCAAGTTGGAGATGTGACCACGATGTCCCCTCCTCAGTCTACCCTCAGTGGTATCTTCCTATTGCTCGGTTTCACATCTATTTTCCCGACTAAGAATGCAACAAAACGCTGCATTTTTATAACAAAACTAGGGTGACAGGTGGTCCACATCTCACGTTATGGGTAGAAGCTTTGATTCAACATTTACTTAATTATTAGAAATACTGATTCTCAACCTTCGACTTAAACATTGTGATCTGTCAGGTTCTTCGATCATTAATATTTAATTTTGACCGAACCAGGACTGGTCATTTACCTGGATATACCCGGTACCGAAATGTTTGTTTTAAAAATACTCATGTACTCATGTACTCATGATACTGAGAGTCAATCAATTACATTTTTCCATTTTTAACGATCTGCAATTGTAGTAGCTCGGTCCAATTTACTTGCAATCAAAGACATTAAAGATATAGCAAAGGGGCGGGTCTGGAGTCGTATGGTGGGGTCCAATTATTATGTTATTTTGGGTGGCGACGCATTTACCTGAAAACAGTGAATTTTTTAAACAGAAGAATGCATTTTGGTGATGATTTTTATACTTAAGCACAGAGTGATGATATTTTCTACTCTTATTTCTGTCTGTGAGCACACATGCAGCGTTAGTTCCCAAAAGAAAAACTTAAAGGGATAATAACTCTTCGTATGAGATCTATATTTCACAATAAAACATTGTGAACAACTCTTAGAAATATAATATATTCTGTTTTACCACAAAAACGGCAGTTATAGCTATTATTCTGATATCTGAGCTTGTCTTCAGACCACGTGACCTCCATTGATGGCTATACTCTGTTATAATCTCTTAAGAGATTTTAACAAAAAACCAAACTTTTTAGAAAAAAACCAGGGACTAACTTTGAAAGTAGAAATGCATTCATGAACCATTGGTAAGTATGGAAAAATTGTTGTTTACTTCAGGAAAATTAATTTTTTGGCCAAAACGAAGAGTTATTATCCCTTTAAATGATTTACGTGTGCAGAAATACAGTGTATACGTTAAAGAGTATTCCTATTGTGAAATGAATAAATGCATTAAGGGACACAGCTTTTGCGGTACGAATGCAAAACGTTATCTGTATATATATATATATATATATATATATATATATATATATATATATATATATATATATATATATATGGGGGTGACAGTCTTGTTGAGGACACACTAGCACAGAGATGCCTATATAGTTCTAAGTTCATATAGATAATTTCAGTGAGTCCTGCTTTATAGAAAGGCTGATTTTGTCAAAATGATATTGTGCCTCATGATATTCATGCTGAAAATGCGATTGTGATATCAAATTTATTATCAATTTCAGATACATAATCAGTTTATGTACACACTGTGGCCTTTACATCCGCTACATCATGTCAAACAGCTTTTAATATCATGATCAGTTTATTACAGCGAAAACCAGTTTTCATTTATTTATTTCAGTCATCAAAGACTCACAAATCATGTTTATATGATAAATTTTGATTTTTCTGGCTTTCCAGTTCCTTAACAGGTTTTTCACCCACCCGCCCCTCTTTGCTCTTCCAGCGTATCGTTCATTGAAATTGGACTGTCTCGTAAACAGCAATGCCTTTCAGTCGGGCAGAAAGACTGTAGCCTCCTTGCATTAAACCAAACAAATGATAATAGCAAAAATGGGACATAAGAGATGAAAATTTACGCCCACGAGAAATCCCTTTCACTCCAACATGTCTAAAAAAAGTCAGTTTCAGTTATTCATTTTATGGCAAGCCACATGATGACATGACTCTGCTATCTTATCTGTCCATCCACGGGGGAGGGGATCAGAACAATACATTCATGTGCCCATATTGTTGAGAGCAGGGAAAAGGGTCCGCTGCTTTGCCTCCTGGAGCAGTGCATGTGAGTTTAACATTATTGTTTTTCTTTGTTATTAAAAAATTGTCACATCGTATAGAGCCTACTGAAATTTTACCGACAGCATTGAATTGAGATCTGAAAGAGGCAACTCTGAAAAGTGTAATATGTAAAAATTGCTTCACGATATGGCAAAAATGATATTGTTGCTTGTGCATCAAGCGACGCAAATGTAAGTTTGTTCTTATTGCAATGGGAAATAAGAGAAAAAAGAAAAATTAACTAGCAAACATTTTTGACACAGCTGAATGGAATCCTCTATTTACTTTATTCGTTTTTCTTTTTTATTGAAAGAAAAACGATTGGCAAAAATGAAGAAGCATATTTCATCATAGTTTATACACATGCGGTATTGAGTTATTTTCTGAGTAAAATAAAAATACCTGTTTTGGTGATATGGGCCAGGATTTTGTTGGATTAGATTCCAATGCTCGCGTGTAGAGCTTTACATTTTTGTAATGCCATCACTCCATCAGTGTAAATAATTTTAATTTATTCCATACACGTGCAATAAAAAAGAATTATCAATTCAAGGACATAAACAGATGTTTTTGGGGTCTGACTTACTTAAAATTATCACTCATATTTTCTAATAAGTTTAAGTAAGACCACATCAATATCTAATGGTGGCTGTCATATCTCTGACCATGATACATGTACACGCGCGATGTGTGCTATTTGATATATGTGATAAGCAGTTTATTTCCCTAATGTTAACTTTGTGTTACCGTTTTATTATGTCCATCTTCACCCTGTCGACACGATTAAAATTATAAATGTGTTTAGTAGATTGACTGTACATTTGGTGTATTCTGGGATTGTAAAAATGGTTTGTATCCTCTGCTCATTATTCAGCATGAATTATCTATCTATATCGATACGTCAATGACATAACACGTATATTATCTTACCAACATCGACATGTACGATATAGTTTTGATATGAACAACGTGAGATTGCGATATAATATAGCAAAAATCCATTTTACTGAAGATATTCCTCAACAGAAAAATAAATCAACTTCAGTGACTTTTTCTTGGCTTTGTCCATCCCTTCCTACTTTTGATGCAGTGTGAACAACAAAGCAATTTATACAGTTTGAAAGAACGATGGTGTACTTATTTGTTACATGTGTGTGTGTCTATGCATACGACAAGATTATAGTATGAGTCACCATATTAAATGGACGGCATTTAGATAATTTATCCTAAAATTCTATGGAAGCCTCAATTAACCAAAGAGATACCCATGCATTTTATCAAAATATTTCTTCTCCGGATATTTTAAGGACTGGCAGAAAACATAGGATCAAATTATCATGCATTTTATCAAAATATAACTTCTCCAGATATTTTAGGGACTGGCGGAAAACATAGGATCAAATTATATTTCTTATTTATTTTAATGTATTTTACCAATTTAAAGTGTAAATAATGTGATGTTATTCGCTGTAGGCAACAGCCAATTTCACAAGGTGAATCTTTCATTTTAGACTTTATTAGACTGACCATGGACGGAGAAACATACGCTACCTACACCAGCTCCAGGCGGCCCACTGGGCTGGACCTCTTTGCGTCCAGTGCTAGTATGGTCACTGGTGCTCTCAGCGGTGGCTACAGCTATTACACCCTGCCTGGGTTCCGGTTCTTGAACGTAGTGCGAATAGTTTTTCTAGTGGACATAATATTAGGATTAACGCTATGGCTCGTGGGTATGTAATAGTGGCAGAGTAACATGCTTGCATAAAAAGCCAGCGATTTTAAACCAAATTGAATCGTTAAAAGTCATTTTTGCAATCTAGAAGTAGCTACAATCTTTATCGTTTGCTTTTCGATAAACTTAACAAGTCTTAGCTTTGCTCAAACAGTGTGTACTGACATCCAGACATGCCCGGCAAAGCATCTCATGTTTCTATCTAGGGATTAAGGATAGAACGCTTTTATCATTTACTTTTCTTTTTCATTTGCTGTGCCTTTGACTTTACATTTTCATGTTTCAGATCTTTCTACAGCGTCTTTTATTGATGCCTTCACAAGCTACAGCATTACAACCTCATTTCAAGATCTTGGTCTAATGACTTTCTTACGCGGAGTTCTACTCTTTATGTTTTTCACGAGCATGGAGGATTATTACATGCAAATCCTGGATGATGAACTAAATGATGCACTTCACCGAAAGCGCTACGCCATGCACACTTTTGTTTTTATCATATCCATTGTCTGTTTGGGGTTTGGGGTTGTCAAAGGGGTATTAGTGCTCCTTGTCTATCTGCAGGTTCCAACTAGTCTGACGGATGTTTCCCCAACAAGCTTTGCCCTCCTGATATCTTTTGTAGTTTTCTCCGTGCTGGAGTTTTTGTTTGCTTGCACCAGTTTCTGTTTTATGCGACGTCTGGCGGACATGCGTAGGCCAAGGAATTTTGACTCCACGGGACTGGAGTTAGGGGAGGATGGCACGCCCATCCGCACCAAAGGCGACCTGCGCCGTCTGCTTGGCTTGGCAGTGCCTGTAAGTGAAAATAATACATCAAAACATCAAAACGTTAATCTGAACGTGATTCTTAGCCTGTTTTACACCGAAGTCGGCTAAAATACATTTTGATAGAAATTTGACCCAATTTTAATTTTTTTTCAGGATATTCATCTCTTGATAATAGGTGTTCTGTCCTTGTTTGTGGTAAGCGGCGCCATGCTGGGAGCACCATTAATGTTTGGGAAAGTGGTTAATGCTGCATCTGAGCCTTTAATACCATCACAGCCAGGTAGGGATGTCATATTTTCTGTATTTAAGCCGAAAAATTGAATTTAGTTTTGCAGTTGAAAAACATAAATGAACGACAAAAATGACAATAAGCTACTGATTACACCTGCATTTTCAACCATAAACGATTTATGAAATACATTGATAAATACATAAATAAATTACTCAATTTTGAAAACTTGCAGACCCACTTTTGACAGTAATATTTACACTGCTGGGACTGTACATCGCCAGCGCCCTTGGAACCATGGTGCGAGGATGGTGCTTCAACCTCCTTGGAGTGCGCATTGTATGCAAACTACGTAAAGATCTCTTTGCTAACATCATCCGTCAAGAAATAGGCTTCTTTGATGAGAATAAGTAAGATATACCAAAATTCCTAAATCAGTTGTCCTTTAAAAGTCCTTCTCTTGTGCAGTGTCTTTATTTTGACGTTCAGTAACATTTTGGCTTTGCTTACATTTTTAATGGAAATCATTTCCTTTTAACTTTGCATCTGTAATTTGCTTTAATATTGTTTGTCATCATCTGTTATCATTTGTATACTAATGGTACCTTATGTTTTACTGTGTAGTTATGCAAATTTGAATATTTCATTTTACCCCCAGGACAGGAGACTTGGCCAACAGACTGGCCACAGATACACAAGTGGTGCAGGATGTGATTACGGTAAGTGTCACAGTTAATGGATTAGAACAATTTGCATGGATGGCAAGAAGACTTAAGCTAAAATCATTTTAGCAAACATAATCATTAACATTTCCATGGCATCCCTGATATTGCCAACAGTGTAGTAAATTTAAGTCACGTTTTCTGTCTGTGTTATCGAAATTATGTATTTATTTTGTCCTGTAATATGTGATATCTTTGTCCTATCTGAAATGTTTTACTTGGATCCAATTGTCGTTTGATTGCACTATTTTCAGATCAAGCTGCGTACCCTTATAAGCTATTTCAACCAAGTTCTGGGTTCTTTTATCCTTTGTATTTACATCAGTCCGTTCTTGACCGGTATCATGTTGCTTACCATTCCAGTGGTGGCAGTAGTCGGAGTCATATATGGTATGAGTCTTTAATGCAATGGCATATCGTTCCCAACAGTGTTGCAACGGAACTGTTTACGATTGAATGCGTGAGCACATTCTGTTAGCTGTGACATTTTCACAACCAACACAATGCACAAACAGATATGTCATTCACGTTGACAGTTCAAGACAGATGGTAGTTTTACTTTGCTTATGTTATCAGCTAGAATTTGGGTGTGAGGGAGCAACGATGGCTAGTTTCTCATGCACAATTAATACATCCTCCTTATACACTTCAGATCTTTTTCCATAACAGAAATAGATAGATGATGTGTAACACATAACATTGATGCATGCCAAGCATGTCTGTTTTAAGCGGCATGACTCCTATAGCAAGAAGCAGTGCATGCTTTTTTTCCTTACTTTCTCCAGGTTTGTTTGATTCATTTAATATGATTTCAAATTGACTTGAATGTTTCACACAAAAATTTCTAACTCTCTGCCATATTGAACTCCTCTGCTGCCACCGTCATTATTAGAGTAATAAATTGTGAATGAAGATGATGATGTGGGTACTTATTCTTTTCAGCGTGGGGTTCGCGAAATGACCAACAATTTCATACAAATTGTGGGCTCTCTAGTATTTCTCATCGTCATCAATGCCCTTGCTGTGGGAGTCATGTTGACCATTGTGCCTGTTGTAGTTATCTGCTTCATTGTATTTGGTATGTTTTCTTACTCACTTTTTGACGGGTGACCTAAGTTTGAAGGGGTCAAATGGGTTTAAATCTTCTAAAATTACTCTCCTTATGTGTATCATCTGTAAAATTTGTCCTCCTGAATGAGATTTTTACTCTTTTTAAGGTCACAATGACGCGGTGTTGTGAACCTTTGCTGACCGCGGTTATAAAACACATATACTCACGCGTGAATTGTTGTCAGAGATAAGTAAATCCACTGTAGGAGACCGAGAATAGACGAAACATATCTAAACACGTGCAGCAGAAGACGTACATGTAAATGCGCTTGTCCTATGTAAAAAATAATAAAACCAATGGAATGGAATGGAATGGAATGAAAAGACCACGAAAAATTGCATTATTTGCATTTATTGATTACTGAACAGCAATTCTCACCAATTTTTTTTTACTTCAGGAAATACTCAGAGAACAAAATTTTGAGAAATTCAGAGTAGCTCTGAACAGTCTTGTCTATTTATACACAATACTTGTGCTCCGATGGAGGTCTTTTTTGTCATTTCAGTTAATTTTAGACATATTTGAGACTTTGAAGAGCACGAAGATGGCTAGTGAATTTGATTTAATCATCAAGATTTAACATTAATAAACTTCAACGGGATTACAAAACAGGATATCATGATATTTATTTGATGGCCTTAGGTTTTGATAATTGTTCAGCTGGTTAAATAAGAAATTAACATAAGTCTTTATATTCAAAATATGTTATTAGTGCAATGATCATGTTTACATATACAATATTCCTACAATTTAAGGAAAAGTAATGAAAAAAATGAGACAGCAGTTCCAAGCCGATCTAGCAGCAGCTGCAAGTCAAGCAGACGAGGCCATCTCGGGGATGAAAACTGTGCGAACATTCAACAGCGAGGCCAAGCTAGAACATGCGTATTCTACTACTGTAGACAAAAGTTACGGCATAGGAAGAACATTGTCTTTTGTATCAGGTATGTTCAATTTGTTATATGTTAGATAATTTAATGGTATACTAATACACATCAGACAACGCATTAATCACGCAATAGCTCTGTTAATCCGTGATGAAATACCAGGTTTAGGTGGCTGATAGCTATCCAATTTTTTTTAAAAAGAGATTTTTCCTGCCCACAGTGAGATAAATTTACAAAATATCAATATGAAAAGCTGTCCAATTTAAATGTTTTTTAATTCACTGTTTTGTAGGTTGTTTTGAGGGTCTGATCAGCTTCCTGCTGTATGGGTCTATCACGCTGATGATGTGGTTCTGTGGCAGCATGGTGAGAGATGGCAAACTGAAGGAGGGAGATCTCACATGTACGTACAAATTGAAAGTAAAATTTGTTCTCAATACTGTTTAACTTGCCATGTGGTAAAAAAGAACGTCGGTTTTTATTATGTGCACACTTGTTTATTGCAAATGGTTAGATCATGAGATCTCACATACTGTGAGGCGGATTTAATCATTACTTAAAGTATGATGCATGCTTCAATGAAAAATGAAGAAAATATGAAAGTTGGTTGAAATTTGGTAGATGCAAACTTTGGCACAAGGGAAATACGTTCGTCTCACACTGCTTTACTGTCTCAGTGACAGCCAACGATATTGTGCATTATTCATGTTTTTACTTGTCAGCTTTTTCGATAAGAGAAAGATACAGATATTGATCATACACCTCTGTGTTGAATGACGTATGTGGCTTTTGAATAGAATTAGAGGATCACATTATTTTGCAAGTGCAGGATTTAAAAATTGCTTATTTAGCATTTCAAAGCAGTTCTACTTATTTCATTTTAGTTTCTGTTTTTGATTCTAGCTTTCCTGCTATACACCCTAACAATAGCAGTTTACTTTGTTTTAATGACATCTGTATTCGGAGACCTGATGCAGGTAGGGCTTTACTGACATATAGGCCTGGTCATACGTACTACAAACATCCATAGTAAAGAGGCATTTGTAGCAAGGGGGGGAGGGGGAGAGGAATGCACTTTATCCTAACTATAAATTCGGTTTTCCAATCGTACACATGTAATAGCAACTGATTTAAGTTAATGTTATGCCTTAGTATTCCTCTGACGTGTACCCTGATATAAAGAATAACATGTCACTGTGATATGTTGCCTATTGACTAGGGTGTGGGTGCGTCCATCAAAGTGTTTGAACTACTAGACAGGAGACCAGAGATTTCTAATACAGGTGGCAAACAACTTCCTGAACTGCAAGGAGGTCTGTACAACTTAGCACAGTAGTAGTAATAGTAGTAGTAGTAGTAGAAGCTCTGTTGAAAAAGGACCAAAGGCTTCTAATCTATTCGAATTCGTATTGATTTATTGCCAGTTGCCATTTTGACAATTATGCAGTCAAAAAGTTATCGATTCATTTGGTCAAAACTACATGCATAGATCGCACTGGTATGAGATATAACAATATACTAGCTTGTATATTTGTTCTTGATCTCACCTTAGTACTACTAACTTTAGGATTGAGTCCTGGTATTTGTTGACTTACTGTATGTATATTGCACGTTATTTCAGTTGTTGAGTTTAAGCATGTCCAGTTCCACTACCCCAGTCGTCCAGATACAAAGATCCTCAAGGGCGTGTCCTTCACTGCCCAGCCCGGAGAAATGGTGGCCTTTGTTGGACCTTCTGGGAGCGGAAAGAGTACCATCATAAGCCTTATTGAAAGATTCTACCTACCAACGAGGGGGAAGATATGTTTAGGTAAAAAGGTAGACTTTTAATATAAGTAATTTCTTTCTTGCAGTATATTTTGACCAGGGAATTATATCATCTACGATATAATTCCCTGTTATGAAAGAGGCTGAGGTCAGTTGCAGTATTAAAAGATAACGAAATGGGAAGTGCATTTACAGTTAAGGCATATATAAATGATCGACGTTTGTCAAATTGAAAATAATGGAACTTTCAGTTGTTTGAAATTTAGGGTCATGATTAAGATTAAACATGGTATCAAATATACATATGGCAAACTTTGTTCAAACAAAGAGCGTATTCTTAGTTTGAAAAAAGGCGCAATAATTGTTCTGGATAAAAAATAAGCTTGGAAAATTATATTCTAGATGGTTCCAACTTGCGTCATTTAGACCCTCAGTGGTTCCGTAAGAAGATCGTTCTCGTCGGCCAGGAACCTACTCTCTTCGCTGGCACCATAGCAGAGAACATAGCATGGGCATGTGAGGATGCCACCATGGCTGACGTAAGCATTGAGTTAGACTAGAAGGAGCGAATGATTGGCGCCTCTTGTAGCCCATAAAACGATTTGTATTTTCGTCTAATGACTGACCTAATTTTTCAGTTGTCCCCATCAAATTTCATTACCGCCATAATCATATGTTTTCTTTTATTTTATCAAAAAGCTTATCATAAAAAGCCACTTATTGCCATTATCAAGATTTGAGTGGGAGTGGGATATCTTTGGGTTTGGAGGATGAAATGTTATTTTATTCAATATCTAATGGTGGTTAAGATACATGGACCAGAGGGTACTTACAGACACCTGGTATTGCCTTTATGAGTATGATTTTTAGTTATGATAGCTGGACAGAAACTTAACCTTCCAGATTATTGCTGCTTCAAAACAAGCAAACTCTCATGAATTCATAGAGCGTCTGGAGAATGGGTATGAAACGATGGTGGGAGAAAGAGGTGCTTCTCTCTCAGGAGGGCAGAAACAAAGGATTGCCATAGCCAGAGCTTTTATCTTAAATCCACTCATATTGCTTCTGGATGAGGTAACTTGATAAAACCAGGTCTGCAACTGATATAACTTGTTAGGAAAAAGTTGGTCATTCAAAATCAAACGTGATTTTTTATGTGAAGGGGAAATGCACTTGGGTTTGATAAAATGAGTATTGACTTACATGTATTTTGTTTTTACTTCCTTGAAAGTTCAAATAGATAAGCAAATATATGAATGAATACATGAATAAATAAATAAACAAGTAACCATTTGTCTAAATAAATAAATGTTTGACTAAAACAATCACTTATGGGAATGTTATAATTCCATCAAGTTTTCAAAATTTAGAACAAAATTTTGAATAAATATTTTTAAAATAAACTTTCAGGCAACAAGTGCTCTCGATGCGGAAAGTGAGCACCTGGTTCAGGAAGCTATAGACCGGGCAATGAAAGGCAGGACGGTATTGGTTGTGGCCCACAGGCTGTCTACTGTGAGGAATGCACATCAGGTGGGTCATGTCAAATCTGTCTCGATTTTAGAAGTAGTAGTCTTTATTTCATTTGTAAGTTACCAGAATCAAACACCACAACAGTAGAGATACTACCCGCATATCGTCAAACATCTTTCCCTTAATCTCGGAGGTAAGCCATTTCAAAAACCTTGCACAGAATAAAGACCCTTATTGAGGTCTGAGTCTACATGTATATGTTTTGAGAACTATAATAATGAAGATAAACCGATAAGATTTCACTCGTAACAGTTAATACGAGTAATAACAGCTCAAAAAGGATATTGCTGAAACCAAAGGCCACTACTTGACACGTTTTTCATTTTCTTTAGATTGTAGTTCTAGACCAAGGTCGCGTTGTGGAGAAAGGAAACCACGATGAACTGTTGGCGATGGAAGGAGTTTATAAGAAACTCGTCATCAGGCAGTTGGCAAGTGCTGAACAGAACTCTTCTTCTATTGGAAATGGAGTAATTAACGCTGAAAGTGAATCTGATAGCGATTGAAACCACGGGAGCATTTCCCATGGGACAAAAACAACATGACAGTTGTCAGAACGTAGCAAAAATTTACATTCTTGAACAGAGGTTTTAAAAATGAGCTGTTGAATTATTAATTACTGAGTGTTTCGTAGTGATCCTATAAGGATTGCACATTTCCAAATTGACCACTTGTTTTTGATACGAAACAAATTTTCCGTTCAGTGGATGTCATATAGATGTCAAAATATCTAGAAGGGGCCGGGGGTAGGGTCTAGAAAGGGATGTTAAGTCCTAAGACTGACATTCACTGGATGAGTAATGTGATATCGATTATTTTAGTTTGATACTCGTATAAATAAGTTATGCCAAAAAGCAAATTACTGCGTTTGTTCTGTCCCTCACAGAAATAAACATCAAATTATTTGCTATGGAAGACGAAGAAGAATGTATTTTCCTGGCGCCAGCGACAACTTTTTGTTCTTGTCGAATTTTTCAGATAACTCACACTACTTATATTTCAAAGATCGCTGCCTCTTCTTCTGGATGCATAGCCGACAGCTGGGTTACGTGCATTTCTTTACTTCGCGTGAAATGTTATTTGTGAGCAAGGGAATTAACTTTTACACTTATAAGGGAGTAACATAAATGACGAGTCCAAAATATTAAGACGAGAGATCGAATTTTGTCTATCCCACCCTGACCACTGCAAAGGAATTATGTTATAAAAAAGTTCCCTCCACCTGGATCCGTCGACGCTCAAATTCAATGTCATGAGCAATGGGCTAAATCAGAGTAATCAAAGTAGGCAGATCTTGGGTAGTTATAATGCCTGGTCTACTTATAATGTGACTAATGAGTATAAAACCGCTGTACCATGGAATTGTATTGTTGGTCTTGTACTTGTACAGCAAATGTTATTCCTGTCTTCCTCCAATATGGCAAGATACAGGCAATTATCTAACGATTATAGACATCAAGTTATTAACCTGAAGAGGCGTAATATAAGCAATGTCAGAATATCGATTCAGTTGAATTGTTCAGTCAGAACCGTTCAGAGGGTCTGGTCTCGGTATGGAAACACTGGATCAAGAGACAAATTGCCTCTGATGGGTCGTCCAAGAAAAACTACTGACCGTGAAGACCGACGACTGATTTTGATGTCTAGGTTGTCAAGTTTCGTATCGACACTGCTTGTCAGTTGGCAACACAGTGGAACAATTTCACACATAAGAATATNGAGTGGGCATACCCGCTATTTAGATCAATAATGAACTCTGAAGATGTTTCTTGACAATTTCCCCTAATTTCATATCAATTGTCAATCACAGTATAAATTTATGTTTAATTTTTCACTTGGTACTGTTATGTAAAAAATGTACTCTTTTGGGGGGGCATGAGAAAAAAAACCTAAATAAATTAACGCTTTTTTCACATTTGCATTGTTTATTTCTCCTTGACTTTACCAATCCTCCAGCTTCACATATTTAACAATATAAACAGTATTATCTTGATAATATCAATAATAATGAAAGAAACAGGGCGATATGCATCCCAAAATTTCCGTGTACCAACCATTTTGGGCAAGAGTGTATATGAATCCTTGCCTCGCAGACTGGCAGCTGTTATTAGGGCACGTGGCTATGCCCCTAAGTACTAATTTTGGACTTGAAATTGCATATCTTGGTAGAATGTATATTTTGTTCTCATTTTGTGTTTTTTTTTTTGTGAAATTTGATTTTAATAAAATGATACCAGGAGCATATTATTCCACAGTCATTAATCTTCTTCAAAGTATTGGTTCAGTAGGGGTGACACTTCTATTGTCCAGTGTGTGTAGGTCATTGTACGTGTATCTCGTGTGTTAGTTTTATAAAATTAAGGCCATGTTTCGAGTGGCTGTGTCACCATGGAATGGAGACGTGCTATAGAAGGCCTTTTATTTATACTTAATTCTAACTTATTAAAACTGTTGGTTGGTGGTGTTTGAGGTTGTGTATATACTTCAGCATCGCGTCCGGTGCATTGTCTCAGCTCTCGTTCGCCGACTTCAAGAACTTCTTCTCGTGTTCGTCTACGCGTGGTGTCAGAGGCCGATTTCACAACAGAACTGTGGCCCTGAAATCGGTCTACTTCAGTTTAAGATAAATCCGTAGTAGTGCACTTATATACAGACTAGGCATTTAATATGGAATATTTCAGTTTTAAAGTTATACCCAGGTATAAATGCGTTATTTAAAAAAAAATTCAGATTTCATATAAGACATCTGACTGGAGAAGTGTGAAGTCAGGTGTGTCGCTGCCAATTAACTGACTACCAAGTCTGTTGCACTGCTGCCTTGGGCAGTGCTCCTTTGGGCTAGTCAAAGCTTGGCTTTGGCGAAGGATGGTTCTGTCAGTAAAGTATCCATATGACGGCAAATACTGCATAGAAGAATTTGAAATTTTGCATTCAAGCGGTCGGTTTTGCAGTGCGTAAAATGAGTTAAGCAGCATTTTACAAAACTGTTAAGCTGTGCCAGAATGGCGCGAAAAACACAGACATTGCCAGACAGATTATTGTGTCAAACGGAACGGTCTACATAGTTTTATAGAGTTATGCTCAGTTTGAGGCACTACACAGAGACCAAGCCCAATGCATCGACGTCTTACCACCAGGATATAGGACTCACTGTCCTTCAGGGTATGCTGCTGCAATTAAACCAAAACCACCCAGTCCGTTTTGAATGAGGGACAAATTGTCACCAAAACTTGTTTTTCAAGGCTCTTAGCAAACACCAAACTGATTTCAGCAGGTTAGGATTCCAGGCGACCTCTGAGGAAGCCACTGTAAACAGCAAAGCAGCCTAGTTTGTTTCTCTAATGAATTGGGGACCATGACAGTTTCTGGGTAAAACACTGAAACCACGTGGCTTCTTTATTGAGGCCAGATTTATCTGTACAGCTAAACTGGTCAAAACAGAGTTTACAGACATTCTGAAGAGGCCTTCGACGAAATGTGTGCCACTTCTTAAGAGGCTAGGGTCATTGACAGTGTCAGTATTTGGAGTGGATACCACATTGGTGCCAAAACACCAATGGTAGTCATCAATGAAAACCTTAACCAGATCAAGGAATAATCTAAGAAAGGAATAATCTAGGAACCACTTGTCTATTATTTGATAGGGGGCACCTTAGGAACAATTTTAGGTTGCAGGGCGAGGTTGCCGGTTCACACAGAGCACATTTAATAGCAGATAACTTACAGAACCAAGGGAATGAGTAGCTACCTTGGTAACAAAATCGCCATATTTGAACCACATAGACAATATGTGGGTAGGTCATTACTCGCCGAATCAACGGCCTGCATGTCCTATATCAAAACTGAGCCAAATTGGACAAGTTTTAACCGTATTCTGGAATTTTATTCCAGATTAAACTCTTAAAAACCTATCATAAGAAATGCCTTGCGGCTTGAAAGCTCTGGTAGCAGCAAGATGAGGTCAAGCGCAACAGCGACTGTTGCTGTGACTAGACACTGACATGGGGGGCCTTTGTGGGGCGTGTAACTCTTTTAAAGACAATAATTAGGAAAATATGGAGATCCAAAATATCGCTTTCAATGGTAGTCGTATGACTTAAAATAGGCAATGTATTTTTGTTTGCTTCACTGACGAATTCAATAAATAAACTGATGTCACAATGACATCGAAGAGATTATCAAAAGTTATTAAAACACGATTTTAATCCTTATTTTCATTTATCAGTCAGCAAAATAGGAAAAAAAACTGATGAATTATGTTTTGGAAAAAATATTCCATATTAAATGTCAAGTCTGTACAATTGACCTGAAACATTTGCTTTGTCTTTCTCGTTTTAAAACAATATTTCGTTCCGTTTGCCACTACCGATAACATTTTGATCTCAAAAGGCTGCCATTACGTTAATCAGTGTAATTTTAATTTATCAATTAGTTGTACCTAGTACCATTGGTTTTGTGATTACTTATCAAGGTAACATTATTTAATCATCAGTGTTCACACTCAGGGTGCCTTAAATTTTGACCAAAGAAATAGGTGGCATCCTTAAAACAATCATTTATTGAGAGCATTTTTTCACAAAGCCAACTTTAAAAAATACAATCTACAAATGAAATTTTGCAGAGGGTTCGGATGAAAAATTTTCATTTGCTTATCTTTAACATAGATTACTAATGTCATTACTTTATCCGCCAATTTAGAAAAAAATACAAAACGCTTTTTTTGTTGTTGACAAATTTTATTGAAGAGTGATTTCGAAAAACAGCACAAACACACATAAAACATGAAACATATATTCCAGGAGTGTAAGTGAGATATTCATGTAGTACATAATGCATCCTGTAAGCAATATATTAGTGTAGCTGTTAATTTCACGATGACACACCGGAATGCTCTTAGTATATAAACAATCAGTTACCTGTGTAAATTTCACTTTGGTACCGTTCCGGTTGGCCAGTCAGCATAAGTGTAAAATTTTTAACTGGTGCAATTGTTTTGAATATAAGGTCTTCTGGGGTATTGAAGTAGGTCTACATGTATACAAGATTTCGATTTTAAAACCAGGGATATATAAATGTTAAAATATAAAGGTAAAATATAAAAAAGGTTAAATATTCAAGCACATTTTGTATCACAAGCTCAATTTCCTTTCTACTTGACCAATATTTCAACCAGTCGAGCAGGGGAATCTTGAAAGTGTCAAAAATGTATGCGTTTAACAGTTTCACAAAATTTTGCCCAAAGCTGCTAAGTGTCCTTTTTATGCACTTCTTTCTGCTGTGCGAATTGATACTACACTAATTATTTACTATCAATAATGTGTACATGTATGAGCCGCCCTTTCATGCTTACTAAATTTAAGCTTGATCAAGCTTGATTCAAGTACTCCTATAAGAAGCAGACGGAAAACGATTGTCGGATAGATTGCGCAGAAAAATTCTAAAATCAAAACAATAAGAACTCCTATTACCAAAACACCGGTGGTAGGTTATACGCTTTCTAAAATCGCCGTTTCTAATAACCATCTGGATAGCCACCTTTTCTGAAGTCCGAGTTTGCATAGATGGCACTTCCGCTTCTGTGAATACCCTGTACCACAGAGGGCATGACAGCTTTATCTGTTAAATTATGGTTTAGCGCCCTCAGACCCGAGATGTACACCTGAAAAGAAACATTTGGTTTGGTTTAATATATAATTTTGATTTAAAGGATGATTACAAAGCCAAGGAAAAAACTTAACTGAAATTTCAGTAAAGCCTTACTTTTCTGAACCCTTCCTCATAACTTATTTCAGGCGGTAACAGTTGGTGATGAATTCGACGAGCATCGATGGCTTGCTTGATATTTTCACCGAACCACAGTGTGCGTGCCGTAACCTAAATATAGATAACTAAATTCCGATTATGGTAAAGTACCATGATAATGAACACATTGTAAAGTTGTTCTTCTGGATTAGATATATGCTGAAGCTCAGGGAATACCAGCGAAAGTTTAATTAAGTACTAAAGTTACTGGCAGATCCCGGATGTCAAGAAGGCTTGGGGTGTACTGCATTCGTTTTTTCTCCAATCTATGTTTGAAGTGAGTACATAACACATGAAATAAAAATTTTGTTATAGAAGGGGTGCCCTTTCCCTATGGATCCGCTTCTGATTATGTTTTATATTGAGAAAAGAAAAAAGAAAACATACATATGCGATGGCAGTGGTGATCCTGGATCCACCGGATGCCCCAACAACCAGGATTACGTCACCGTCCTTATTAACTATAATGGTTGGGCACATGGACGATAGAGGGCGCTTTCCGGGTCGAATGAAATTGTTAGGAGACGGTGCGATTCCAAATGCATTGGTTATGTTTGGAGAGGAAAAGTCATCCATTTGATTGTTGTATATAATCCCTGTCTTCTTCCCTCGAACTCGAGATCCTAAACTGAAAACAGACTTATATAGATGTCATAATTTTCGATGATAACTTCCTAAAATTGGGCGTTAACAATACTAAAATATGCCAAAGACTACTATCTTAGTCAAAATATATAACAATAAATAAATAAATAATACATGAATGAGAAAAAGTTCCACGCGCGTTTTAATTAGCACCCATTTATCCTGCTGGGTATAAACTTCAAACACTTTTGAAATGTTTTATATAACATTATGCGAGTTTAATGAGGATATTTGGTATTCAGCACTCAAATAGGTACACTATCCTTCACATGAAATTGCACGTGCCTATACGTTCAGATATAATTTAGTCCGATTTCCAGTGCAAAAGGGTTGTGCCTTAACAAAACTTTATATACATACTATAAATTAATGGTGCTGGTAACTGCGACAGCATCTCCATTTCCCGCCAAAACAGACAAATGCGAGGTACCCTCGGTCATTCTGTCGTAAAATGTTGGTCCATAATATGCCGTGTCATGTGTTGTGCTGTCTGTGATGAGACTGCGGATATGGTCCCCGAACTCAAGAGAGGTCATGTTTTTCACCAGCTAAAATATTAAATGAAGGATGTTAACTAAGCAATTCAGTATGATGATGACCTCTTTTTGTGAAACGAAAAACAAAGACGCTCTTATGTGACTTTCGCCCATAAAAAGAGTTTTTTTCATTAAAAAGAAATTGATTTCTTTACCTGGTCCAAGGTGGTGTTTCTCAAGTAATCTTCATCACCAAACTCGGTTCTCTTTGCATACGCGAACTTCATCGCTTCTACCATACGGTGATATGTACGAACTGCATGCGAACCGTGAAGCTCTTGAGTAGTAAAATTATAACCTGTAAGATTCATCAAAGAGTGCTAGAATAAGATACTTACCTGTAGGCTGTACATTTAACTCTTTGTTTGCATTTGGAACATTTGTTAGCTCAACTTATTCCGCTAACTGTTTCGGGCTCAGAATCTTTAAGTTGTAGGCCTACTCATTAAGAATGGGTGGGCATGATCATTTGCTTCAATGATCTATTTCTTATTACTTTAATTGTAAATTATTCCTAGGTACCAAACAGTAGCTCAGATACTAAAATAAAATGGTTATCGAAAGCAAAATAAAGTAAATTCACTGTGTTATCTACATTTGAGTAGAAACTATATAAAACGCTCAAAAACTAGACAGTTAGTGGACTAATTAGCTGCCACATTTAGTGCTTGAGAGAAAGGCAACAACCAGGGCTGAATGACGATCGAGGCTTTGGAATAATAGCTTCAGGTTGTATAACACTGTGCTTGCATGTACACTTATATTTGATCGGCAGGCCTACAACTAAGACAACCTGCATACGAAATAGTCTGTGTAGCAAGAGAAGTTCCCATTTTCATTTTCTTTAGCATAACAATAAAGGTCATTTAAATCAAACGCCAAAAATATTATTTCCAAAAAGGCATAACCATATGAGCCTACCTTGGAGAATGTTAAGTATAAATTGATAAACAGCCCCACTAGATGGAGGCCGAGGTGTATACACTTTCATTCCGTTGTTCATTTCTAGGGTCAGGGGTTCCTTTTCTTTCACTGTGTATTCTCGCATGTCCTGTCTTGTTATAATGCCACCTAACGTCAAGATGCACCCAAATCAATTACTCTTAATTTCGGCAGTTAAATACATTTCACTGAAAATATCATAATTTGCCATTTGCTATTTACAAAATGGATTAATAAATGCAATATATGAATGTTATTCCAACTGCATATTTTTCTTTTTACTTCTCATAAGTAATTTATGGCATCAAGTGGTATATCAGTCTTCTTAAACAGATATAGTTGACCTTTTTCCTGTATTTCATCAACGATGTCTCGAGTCAATTCAGAATCGTAAAATTCCGATACTCCATCAGTAGCATTGGCAATCTTCTCTAGCGTAACCGCTAACTTATATCTGTACATCATATCACCTGCTTTTAATATTTTTCCTCTTGGGGCGAACACTTCGCTGCAAAAATACCAAGAAACACAGATGTCAAACTTTTTGTGCATTTATAAACTTTGGTTTTGGCCAATTTGTTGATTTGCAGACCTCAGAAATATGAAGGCGACAAAGGCATAAAAACAATATCTGTAATCAATAGTTTGACAAACTTCAGGTCGACGCATTTTAGGACATTGGATACTGAGCACACAATAATAAGTTCCCATGGAAAGAGAGGTACCATACATTTTTCTAAATAATACATTCGTTCTCCCCCAGGCCCAAGCTAACTTTGTATTCAAATTCATATTCTAAATAATTAGTTTCGAAATAAGCACTACAGACCTGAGGCTAGCGTCGTTTAGGATATACTTTTCTAGTGCTATTAAGGCTTTTTCCAGTGCTTTCCCGACTTTTATCCCTGATCTACACATGTTAATGGTAGGCACGAACAGTTCCCTCCACGGTAGTTTACCAAAACGTTGGTGGGCCAACCAGTAGCCTCTTATTTCTCCTGGCACCCCAATGGCTAGTCCCCCTATTAAAAACACGTCAACACCACAATCAAGAAACGAATAAAACGCTCCCATCCATAGCTCAACTTAACCTGCCGTTAAAATCTACGATGTCTCCAAAACGTCACTTAATTAACAAAAAGTGAAAATAGCATAATTCTGCGCCTGCGCACCATTCTCCAAATTTTTTGCTAATCCTCTGATATAACATGCTTCAAACCTGACGTCGGTGCTTGGGCACATCTTAAAATATTTCTGTCACATACCTGGCGCGTCAGAAGTTATCAAGCAGGGCAACACATCCTGTATACCCATATTGTTTTACAATACACCCTTACCAATAGTAGTTGCGGTTTTGCTAGGGTTGTTGGTGAACATGGTTTCATAAGCGGCAGCCGGTGCTTGTTCCCTTGCATCAATTGTATGTGCTGTTTTGTTTGCCCTTATAACAGTACACATTCAAAATATATTTTCATGCAGCCAAACAAAAAAGTACAGTATATATATATATATATATATATATATATATATATATATATATATATATATATATATATATATATATATATAAACATTACGGTTTCCCTCAAGATCAAATCAAATATATCCTAAAACAAGGGACTTGTATGCATGCATTGTATCATTAACAAAATCTTTTCATTTTACTCTCTGTTAAACAATTCTAAAGCAATGGCCAATCTAAATTTTGCTGCAACACACACACACACACACACACACACACATATATATAACCTGTTATAAACTGTCATGAAGAAACCTCCTCCGACACCCATACTGTGCGCATTGTGTACTCCTATACATAACAATGTCGCGATGGTCGCATCTACTGCTGAGCCACACCGGGCAAGAAATTCTCTGGAACGAAATGGATATATGATAATAACTGGGTTGGCAGTAGTGGGCAGACAGGTAAAGAATAATAAATAAATGAATATATTTACACATGCAACAATTGGTGCACTTAATAGTGGGCTGAATATCTAAATCACTGGAAGTTACCTTCAGATTATAGTTAATAAGATTATCTCATCTTTGTTAGAAGGGGAACAAGAACACATCTTACTACTGCGAAACTCATAAGCGACATAGCACCGCATGCATGGGAAATTACATGTACTTGTAACTTACGTCCCCACTTTTGAGCATTCTCCAGCATCCGCAGCTACGGCGGCAAACCTGTATTCTCCCAGTCGTGAAGCCGAGGGAGGCGCCTCAGGGTCATCGGCTGCGTTTGGAGTAGTACTTCCACCCACAGGTATGGTACCAGTAGCAAAGAGAACTACCAACAATACCACCAATGCCACCACAAGCAAGACCAGCAAGATAACGTTTCGTTTGCGGAAACTGAAAAAAATCCAGCATATTTCATTAATAAAGTATCTAGAAATCAAATGGTTCAAGATACTGTATCCCCAGTGGAGGATACAAATTGGTACGACAAGCACATTTTATGAATGATCTTAAATTAACATAGGGAAACTGAACAAGAACATATCGTCTTGGAAAAATCTACTGGTCAGTCCAACAAATATGGTTTTTAAATGCTACGTATCTTTAGAAGACGCGTACGTTGGAACTTGGATATTAATCCATAAACCTTTTTTGAAAGTATTTCATTATTATGTGAAAAATTCCAACAAATCCGTGCTGTGCTGAGAATACAAACGTTGGCGATATCTTGAAACATCTTGAATTTAACTCTCATCTGGATCATTTTAGGGATTATATGAGAATTGCATGCGCATGCGTAGAGCTCAAACTTGGAAGGTGAGTGTTCATGGCAAAACAGACAGCATAAACTGGGTGGGAAGGGTAGGCATATAATCCCTAAAATGATCCAGATGAGAGTTAAATTCCAATCAAACTTTAACTTGCAGGTAAGTCTCGTTTAATCTTTAAATTTAACTCTCATCTGATCATTCGAAGCTGACATGAACACGAACATAAGCAAATATAGATCTAAACTTTTATTAGTCCTAAACAAAGGACTACAACACAATAACACAACTTGTTATAACAGAAGAACCAAAATCACAAGTATCCCCTGTGCTTCTGTTATAAAACCTAGCAAATGTGCTACTGTTTGACCATCCTGCTGTCCTAATCACTGTTGCAAGAGGTACTTTAGCTGCAAAAGCTCGTTGAAGCAGCTCTTGTGCTGTGTGATTTGAAAATATTTACATCCATTCCAGCTTTAAACATGACTGCCTTAATCCACCTTGAAATTGTAGCTTTACTAACAGGTGCATAAGGTCTAGTGTAACTAATAAACAACTGTGAACAGCCAGAATGCCTAAGCAATCTAGTTCTATCTAAATATTCTGCTAAAGCAGACAACACACAAATTTGACTATCGTCTGCAAAAAAATTCACAGGAATAACAGGCTGATTTTTTGATGGCCTAGATTGTTTTACAATATCTTGAGCTTTTCCTGATATGCCTGCTTCCTGCATGCATTTCCTGACAATTTGCATGCTATCAGTTTTAGTTTGTTTGCTAGTGAATGTTGACGTCCTTCCTGGCGTGGCAGGCTGAGTATCTTCCTTGTAGGTGGCAACAACACTGGCTCCGTGCACAACAGATGAAGCAGAACTGGAAACCAGTGCTGTGTTGGCCATAAAGGTGCAATGATCAGCACATCTGCCTGGTCCTTTTGAATTTTCTGCAACACTTTCTGCATCAAACTAAAAGGAGGAAAAGCATAAAGTAAGTCACATGACCAGGACTGTTGAAATACATCAATTGCAGAAGCACCTGGATCAGGTTTCCATGAAAAATAATTTTTAGTCTTGTGATTCAACCTTGGAGCAAACAAATCTAATAAAGGCTCACCAAAATACTTGGCCAATTTACAAAACACATCTGAATCAAGTGACCATTCTGTCCTGTCATAAAAGGTTCTTCTGTGTTTATCTGCTAAAATATTTGTCACACCAGGTATATGAGTACTACTTAACCAGGTATTACTATTGATTGCCCAGTTCCAAATTGACACAGTTACTTCATTACATTTATCTGAATGGGTTCCTCCCATGTTGTGAATATAAGCAACTGCTGTGCTGTTATCCATTTGTATTTGTACGTGTTTATATTTCAACTGGTGTTGAAAAGACAATAAGCCTAACCGTGTTGCCTTCAGCTCTAAATGATTGATATGTTCTTTGTGTTCAATTTTTGTTCATCTACCTCCTGTAGATTGGTCAGATTGATCAAAATTACCCTGATTGTATTTTAAAACTATAATTTTGTCCTTCTCCAATGATCTGTAGTGTAAAACACCAAAATTTACATCTGGCAAGGCAGACACCAATGATCCAATAGGTTTTGCCCCTTCCCTTATTGTGCAGCACGGATCTTTAATCATCTGGCCTAATAATTGAGATAATTTCCCTTGCCTATCAGGGGTAAGGCTCACTGCAAGGTCTTGTGAATTGAGGATAAACCCAAGGCGATTAATTTTCTGGACAGGAAAAAAATTGTGATTTTTCCTCATGAACCACAAAACCAAGGTCTGACAATAACTGAACAGTAGTCTGTACATTATCCTCACAACTCTCGTAATTATCAGCCTGTAAGTAAAGGTCATCTAAATATGCACAAGATACATGTCCCTTACAGCGCAAATGTGAAAGCACAGGTTTTAACAATTTTGTAAAAATCCTGGGTGCTGAAGCCAAACCATTAGGCAAACAAACATATTTGAACAATTTTCCTTTCCATCTAAATTTCAAATACTTCTGATGTAGTTTAGAGACCGGCAGTGTATAGTAGGCATCTTTAAGGTCTAATTATGCCATATCACAATTCTGAGTCATAAGGCTTAAACATGTTTGAACACTGTCCATTTTAAAATGGTGATATTTAATAATAGAGTTTAGCTCTTTTAAATTTAAAATCATTCTGTGTGAACCATCCTTTTTGGGTCGAATAAAAGTTGGTGAAATAAACTGTCCTGACTCATCTTCACAAGGTACAATTACACCTTTTTGTAACAATTTGATAATTTCTGAATCAATTGTCTCTCGTTCTGCCTGATCAAAAACTACAGATCTGTGCTCTTGAAACTGACAAGGTGTTTCAGTTAACTCCAAAGTAGCCTCAGTCACATAGGACAGAATGGCTGGATCAGATGTTAATTTTTTAAAAATTGACAAAAAATGCTTTATATTTCCAGCTATACAATAATACCGACTTACATTCAGTATTGTTTCTTTGGGTATGGTCTCTTCTTGAAAATTTGAGACGGTCCCTGGCCGTTTCTGGGTTTTTTGTCTTGCATTGTAGCTGTTCCATCCTAAAAAAGGCCTTTTGCCTTTGTTGAAAAACTGTCCATTCTTGTTCTGACTGTAGGCGGACTTAGGGTGAGATGCAGGCTGGTGAAAACTCGTGTACATTTCCTGAGTCTTTTTTGTTATTTTCAAGCTGTCCTCAATTTCTGTAACATTATTATCCAAATCATCTCCAAAGAGTAAAGTAGTCACAGGGTTACTGGCTGAGCAGAGAGCCTTGTAATTGTCATTTAAGTCTGACTTGGTTAAATTTCTTCTATGTGCATAGAGATTTCATGCACAACTTCTGCCATGATATACTGGAAAATTCAGTATAAACTTCAAAATTACTGTTAACATTCTTGTTGAATAATGACAAAATTCTTGTTTTATTTTGTACAGTTTAAGCACCAAACTGCTATACAGAATACGATTTTTAATGATTTCAAAATTATGTTTATGTTTCTTAAACCTTGGCAATTTCTCGAAAAGATCGAATCATTGCCGTATGTCAAAACAAGAGTTTATACAACCATACATTATGTAATTGTTTTGTCAAAAATATGAAAATTGATCATACATAGCATTTTTCTGTTTAAAATCTGCCATGAGTAGAATGCTCGAAACGGAAAGAAAGCCACTAGCTTATGAAAAAAATACTTATTTCTGATTTGAAAAAAAAACCCAGACCGACCCCTTATAACACCTATCTCGTCTCAAAAAATGATTTTCACGTCAAAAACGTCGAATTTGCGTGTTTGAGGCCAGGTAATGGCTGCCGTTCAACGGCCTCTTCCATTTTAACCATGGATGTTACGGGCACACAAGCCATATACTGGGGCAGCTTACCTGCACGGTATCAGGACAATTCCCTCCCCGGA